TCAACATGACATTTAATCTATTATTAGACTCAATTGGGTTATTTTCAAAATGTTAAAGAGCCCACCAAGAAGTAACAAGACTAGAGTTCAGGTAGCTGCTCTGCACTGTTGCCACATGGCATTGAAGAAGATAACAGTGGATGAATTATATCTTTAAACTTAAACCCTCTGGAACACAAACTTGGAGTAATCAGGACCCTACAACACCGGGCAGAAAATGTTCCCTCTAAGCCAGAAGTGAAAAGGGGGTAAAACACACATGTAAAGAAAGCTCTTAAAACATGTGGTTCTCCTAACTGGGCTTTCAACAAATCAGCAAAGATGCGCAGAACAGAAGGTCAGACACAACTAGGGAGAATCAGGACAAGCAGAACAATATTATCATCATCTCTTATGTAGCAGGTTTATGAGAGAAACTCAGGAGAGTCTTCTCCAAGCATGACATCCCAGTGTACTTCAGACCCAGCCTCACACTCAGACAAAAACTGATTCATTCCAAGGACAAAACTCCCATACACAACCTTAACAATGTAGTGTATGCTGTACAGTGCAGCAATACTCAGACCTCTACATTGAAGAAACCAAACAGCCACTCCATAAATGCATGGCACAACATAGAAGAGCCACCTTGATGGGACAAGACTCAGCTGTCCATCTGCATCTAAAGGACAAAGATCGCTCTTTTGAAGATGCCAATGTTCCCATTTTGGACAGAGAAGACAGATGGTTTGAATGAGGAGTGAAAGAAGCCATCTATGTTCACTGTAAATGACCTTCTTTGAACAGAGGTGGTGCCTTACAACACCAACTGTCTGCCATCTATAATCCAGTTTCGAGATTGGGCCATTTGACCTCAGGAAATCACATGATAGGTTGGGGCTAGATCTCACAATGGATTCACCTGAAACCCTGATTGTGGCCCACACCTGTTTTCAGACCTTGGCTCGTGTGATTAGGTAGAGGATAAACAGGGGGTCCATGAAATGTGTAATTACATTTGCATCATGGTTACTTTTGCAATGCTTAAATTCCAGCAAATAAAAAAAACACGCAAAATAACAAGTACAAAGCAGTTGAACACCCTGTTGAGTCAGCACTATGATATAGAAATTTACTTACTTGTGTCAACCTCTGTGACCACAATGGGTTTAGAAAACTGTATTCGAAAGCCCCAGGGATATTCTCCTGTCCCTTTGCTGATCTTAACAGTCCTCTCTCGAACTGGAAGATGTTTGAAGATGAT